GCCGCTGAACTTTGCAAAATTGGGCAAGAACCCTCGGTCCTTTAGAAATCCATAAGCACTACCCACCAACAAACCGAAGCGACTCCATAGAAAAAGAGCTTCTCCTCAACTGGATCACGATTGTCTTTCTCAATTGATTTCAAGAACCTAAGGGCTCTAGGAGGGTCCTTGCGCTTCACTGCCTCCTCGTACTCTTGCCACTCTCTCAGAGCTCTCGTTAGGTGGAGGAGCCGTTTTGAAGGAAGTGGGAGCGAATGGAAGGAAAATTAAGGAGCAAGAGGAAGTGGGGCGTAAGGGAGAAAGCAAGGACCAAGTTATGGGGGGAGTAGGTGATGAAGCAGATATAGCCATTACGGAACTATTTTGCGACGAACTTGAAGAAATGCAAGTTCTGAGGGGTAAATGATAAAAATCATCAATCCTTATCCTTAATGGGCTGGGCTGGCTCAAAACGGCAATCCTTGAGTCGTTTTGATGGGTGTACACCTTCTGGCAAACTACGATTGCTCCATCAGAGAAAATCTCCAGCACCGCGCGCTTCCAATAGCACAGCCTATCAGGGCAAAGGATTTAGGCAGGCCGTCAGTTCCGTCACCATTCCCCGCATCTGGTTCCATGGCGGTAGGCCTATTCTCCGGCCTAACAGCCAAACCCTTTCGTTTGTTCCACTCCTCACTCCGCATCTCCAACCCCGCACTATTATTTTCACCTTCGCTTCGCCACCATTAGATGGTCGGAACTCAGAAGAAATCCAAATTCACAGTTTGTTTCATGTTGGAGTAAAAGAAACAAGATCCCCGAATGAAACCGTTATGGAGGAGGTAGGGACACCCAGATCTTGATACACACACATGTAGCGGAGATGCTGGTCCGAAAGGGATCCGAGAGGACAACATACATGGTCGCCGCCGTGATGTCCAGTTTCGGCATCACTTCCTTGGCCATTAAGACTGTTTACTACAGGTTTTCTTGGCAAATGGAGTTATATTCCTTCTCTTCCCCTCTCTGTTTTCCTTATATTATACAGCGGTAGAATTCTGAAATCGGATTCTCTTTTGTTTAAAATGGGTTGAGAGAAAGAAAGAAAGAAAACGGAGATGAAAGAGGCAAAGAAAGAGTTGAAAGCACTCAAACTCTCCAGACAGACAGTTTAAAGAATCCCAGCTAACGTTAGTATTTGCAGAGAAAATCAAGCGCACAAAAAGAATCGGTAATAAATGTCTGTTCATCAAGTCTATTGCTATTAGTTTTGTAGAGAGAGAGAATCCGTAACGGTATTCCTACCTCCGACGACTGCTGCCGCTGCGAATACTACCCTGGGGGAGGGGAATTGGCTTCTGCTTTGAGGAAAGAAGGCAATGCTTTGTTTTGTGGTTCAATTGTTATTATCATTTTCAAAAAATTTTCAAAAATTTTTAACTAAGCATCTACTTTTTCGAGGGGTTTTGCGTAAAAGATAAGTTAAAAGGTTCTTTTTTTCCCTTTGTGAGGTTTATTGAAAGATTTAATTCGGGTTTAATCTTTCACATTTAGTTTATGGTTAGCATAAGAATTCGAAGAATCCCAGCCAAAGTCATATTGAGCAAATTGAAATCCCATCTAAAAATTTGGGATTAAGATTCTTTGTTGATGTTTTATTGAGCAAGGGTCAACTGCTTCCTAACAAATACCTGTGTGTTCATGTGTTTTGGGTTTTGATCATTTTTCTTTTTGTATCAGTTCTATGATTATGTGATGGACGAGATCATCTTGATTTCTGTATATGTTGTTACAAATCTAATAAAATCGGAAAATATAGCATTTGGAGGATTATACCAACTAAAGTTCATGAAGTAATAGAACTTAATACTTTATTCATGATTTTATTTCCTGGAAAGTATATATCTAATCTCTTTTAATTCTTTGTTTTATATGCAGACTGACATGGACAGTACCAATGTTTATATATTCGTTATTGCTCTTTTTGGTATAAATGTATATGGGAGACAAGTTTTATATGGGTGCTGCTAATATTGGGGATGAAAGGAAACTGTGGATTAGGGCTGGCTATTGGTAATGCTTTGCCAATTCAAACTGCTGATCTCAATGAGTATGATTGTGATTCAGATGCAAGCCATGAGGACTGCAAGTGAACCAAGTGGAAGGGCTAAATGAAATAGTTAAAGATTATGTGATAGTTGGCCTCCAATGGTTATCATAACAAATGCAAGATATGAATATGATGAAAACAGTAAGGTACTTTCATTCTCTCATCCTTGATTAATGTCCCAAATTAGCCTAACCATAGAATATAGATTTTTATTTATTGACTTTTGCTTATTGAGTGGAATAATTCTTGACTTGACATATAATTCATTGTTTTGTACGGAATATTATTTTCTGCACTGGATAGGCATGGGGAATCAAGAACTGCTTGAACACTCCTATGCTGCAATTAAAGCTAGACACTCCTATGGCCCAAAAGGGCACTGGGGTATGGGTGTTCTGATCTTTGAAAGTTCAGTAGTAGGTTATTTAGAGGTTGTACGTCTCCATAAGCATTTAAAAGAGCAAGGAAAAGATAGAAATGGGATCAGGAAAACAAACAAAAGGAAGAGCTTCTTGGTATTGTTCTTCAGTTCCATTATATCTAGGTGGAAAGTGCCAACTCGACAGCTACCTGGCTCTAAAAAAAGATTTGGATATTTTTAACCAGCACAATCAAGGTGTAAACTCTATATCTGTTTCTCTTCACCATCTCATATTTCTTGCTGAATGTTTTTACTAACAGTTGTGGTTAATTATGCTTCAGTCAAGAATACAAAATATTTAATTTAACTTTTTGTGGTTGATTATGCTTCAGTCAAGCATGCAAAATATTTAGTTTAACTTCTTTTAAATGTCTTGCCTCACCTCACTCATGTGTGCAATGGAGTTCTCTTATGTAGCCTTTCATTTGTCAATCTGTGAAGTTAACCAGGGAAGCTGATGCTGAAATATGAGATGACATCATATCTGGAGACAGTTGAGAACCAGATAAAGCAAATAAATTATGATAGTCAACACCCTAAACAGCTTAAAGAGAAGATGGATAGAGAACAAAGGCAGTCACAAGCTGTTGCAAAGTCCCTAGGCATAGTCAGTGAGAAGCTAGGCCAGACAACAAAAGAAAATTATATTTTGAAACAGAAAAACAAATTGCAACATGAGCAGAACAAAGAAGATGTTATACCATTTTCTCTGCTCCCCTTATTTTTTGGTTGTGGTAAAATTTGTTAAGATAAATTAGTTTAACAGATTTTGAAGTCTAAAGTTTCTTCTCCCTCTTCTTCTAGTGTGCTATGGCAACTAATCTTGGCTACTTAATACATTTTTCTTGGTGTTGGGTTATTTAAAATTATTGTTGCAATATGTGATTTTTTCAGATGGAGCTTAACAAGAAGTTTTCAAGGAGCAAATTAACATTATCAGTTGAACCTTAGATACGAAGGAAGATGATCTTGAGAAGTTGTGGAAGTCATCACAAGAGAAAGTCAAGAAGTTGAATGCAAATCCTTCAGCCATGGAAGTTGAGAACGGGTAACATTGCTTTGAATATTGCCCTTTTGAGAAGCTTTTATTTTTTGAGATGGAATTTTCTGTACATGATCAATTTCATCTCCCTATTATCTCCAATCACAGACTACAAAACTTCAATTTTGCATAATTTAAGAGCAAAACACCCTACTTTCCATCTAAATCATGGTGTATTCTGTTTTCATGTATGCCATTTTGAGCCAAACTGTGGATGGAAACATTACATGTTTTATGCATGAAGCACAACTTGGTATGGTTTTAAACTTTTAATGTTTTCAAACGTTCTGTCAGGACTAAGGAAACAACTAGATTTATGACATTCCTAGCCGAAAAGATGGAAGAATTTGAAGCAGAGAGGCAGAAGCTGATGAAAACTCACCAAGAGAAGAAATTTGAAATTATGCAGAGTTATTGGGGGGAATTGCTTGACCTTGAGAACTAGTTGGAAAAAGAAGCCACTCTGCTCATGTAAAAGTACACTCCTCAACGCTTCAAGGAAAAGACCACGTAAAGGCCAGAGTTTTAAATAGTAAACTAGAGATACAACAATGCCATGAAAAAAGAGGAATGACATCTTTTGTGGAGAGAAACATTACTTGGACAATAAGTAACAAATGTGCACCAGTTCTGTTGTGAAAACCTATACCAGTTTTTGAGACTTCAACTTTTGGAGTTTTGCTGTTTTCTTAAATCCATAGATGTCTTGCCCTTTGATTGTTTGGTAAAGTGTATGAAATAAATTTAGCATCTTTAGCAATATGCTTCCTATTTGCCATTTTTCTTAACCATGAACAAAGTTCATACTATTAATATCTTCTTTCTTCTTCTTTTTTTAATTTTTTAATTTTTGGTTTTTGAATGTAAAAGGTTCTTATCATCTTTATTTCACTAGAAATATGCATAATGCATTGTCTAGTTTGTGTAAAAAATTAGAAGGAAATTTTTGCAAGAAAGTATTGTAGATTTTCTTAATATGCCGAAGGATTAAAGTCAAAACAATTCTTTTAAATATTACTATGTTTATTATATAAGTATTCATTAAAATAATTAAAAAAAGTTTATTCTTAAAATATGACCAATTAAATATTAATACCTTTATTGCCTAACCCATAAAATAAAATTATATGTACTATGTCTATAAAAAAACATTATACGTACCATAAGAAAAAGGATTAATATCGTATCACTCATATGATACATTAATTCTTTTAATTAAAAATCCTACAAATACATTAAATCAAAATATAGGTAAGAATTTTTTTTTTTATGACAAAATATGACTAGAAAGTAATATAAACTTCAAATATAAATGAGATTAACCTTTTATAAGTAAATATATTAAAGAGTGCTTAGAGCATAATAATAACAGAAGTGACATTACTAGCAGCCAAAGAGAATGACTGGAAAACCGCACAGAGTGTGGGGCAACCACTTCTTGTTAAATATGCTTTTGGGTTTTTTCAAGCCGGGAAGCAGCAGATATCTCATCGTTTCAGACGAACCGCTGCAAAGTTCTCACGAAGTCTGAAGCTTTTACGAGACAAGCGAGTACGCTGGGGCAGAGCATCTTCCATGCCCGGACAGACAGGAAAACGTAGGGAGGCTTCCCGGAGAATTAATTAATAGATTAAAAGTTATAT